ACCATGCTCTGTGCTCAATGGAGGAACGATTCTTTGAAGCACAAACATGCGGCCAGGCTTGCTGGCTCCTATCTGTGACTCCTCTAGCTTGTTTACTGATTAAATCTAGACTAGAACTTGTTCTATATGCCTCAAAGGAAATGCCAAACTGCCCTAGTTATAGATCACCTGCCTGACACCTCATTCCCTTATCTCCACCGACACCCCTACCACATTCTTGCTTTGTGTTGTACCCCAATAAATGACATAGGTCTCCAGAACTCGGGGCCTTCGCAGCCTCCATACTCGCGTTGGCTCCCAGGTCCCCACTTTATGCACTCTTGTCTTTTTTCATTTCTTTGTCTCCACTGTCCCTTGCAACCCCCACAGTCCATAGTCAGGGCTGGTCCCCAACATTTGAGGAATTAAATATGATGAAGTGGAAACATTCGTACCAGTACCACTTTCACTGAGGGACACAGACAGGAGGATCTTTTCTCCCCCGACAGAGTCCTGTGCCTCAGAACTCCCCACTACAGCTCACACCGGGGCCCTGCTTGGGGCCCTCGTCTCCTGGAAGAGCTCCTGGTGGCAGCGGATCATGTGGCCAGTGCCCTGACACACGTTGAGACTGTGCTCCAAGTTGGGATCTGCAAGCCAGCATCCAAGTGTGCAAGGGCCTTGGCCACGTGCCTGGCCATGAGCTGGCAGACCTTGGCAGGCTGTCCTCACCCTCCACCCCAGCCTCCCTCTCCTGCTGTGGTCCCATCAGCTCCTCATTGGACAGCTCTGCCCCGGGGCACTGCAGCCGCTCCCTCGCGTCGGCCTCTGCCACCTCTGCAAAACCTGGGCTGTGCCCCGACGCCAGGATGTCATGCTGGATCTGCGGGAGAATTTCCACAAGCCAGATGCCCACATCGCCTCGGACGCCCTCTGGCCGTAGCTTCTTCCGCCTTCCATTCAGAGCAACTGGCAGGAGGCCAGGCGCAACGGCTCATGCGTGTAACCCCAGCACCTTGGGAGGCCAAGGTGGGTGGATCACCCGAGGTCAGGGATTCAGGAGCAGCCTGGTCAACTTGGTGAAATCCATCTCCACTAAAAATATGTTTTTTAAAATTATTCAGGTGTGCTGGCGGGCGCCTATCATCCCAGCTACTCGAGAGGCTGAGGCAGGAGAATCACTTGAACCCAGGAGGCAGATGTTGCAGTGAGCCAACATCAGCCCCTTGCCCTCCAGCCTGGATGGTCGGAGTTCCTCCCAGGACTTGGAGATGTGGTAGACAGCGTAGAGGACATTGCAGTCCCGCCAGAAGTCCCTCACTGCCGCCCGCACTCACAGCCAGCAGGCAGAGGATCCTCCTGAGGCAGCAGGCCTTGAAGACGGCTGCTACATCCTGGTTCATGGGCTGGAAGAGGGCTGTGGTGATCTTGGCAGGTATTCCGTGTGCATGTGGTCCGAGAGGTCGTCCAGGTTCCCAGGGTGGCCGGGGGTGCTGTCCGGATAAGCAGCGCCTTGCAGGGAAGGTCGTGCTGGGAGCAGCGGCTCTCCACTCTGGGGCAGAAGTGCATGAACCACTCCTGGAGGAGGCTCATGGTGACCCAGGCTTCTTATGCGAGTGCCACACCTCTGGTAAGTTGAGCTTGGAGGAAGCCTTGAGGGAACGTGGGCTCTCCGAGGGGTACACCAGCAAGGGCTTCAGCTGGAAGTCACCGGCCATATTGCCACGGAGCATAAGGGTCAGGAGGTCTCAGGTGGCTTTGACCCTGGGGGCCAACTCATCTTCTACAGGAAAGTGAATGTGCTGTAGGGCAGGCACTTCTAGAAGGACCCGGGCTTTTCCATGTGGAGCACCCGCTGGGGTGTGTAGCCACCCTCCAGGATCACCCTGCACATCAGCGCTGGGTACCTGTGTGCCACTGTCAGGTCCGCACCTGCGGTCCGGCTGCTTGCCCCCATGCTTGTCAAGCTGTGGTGCACCTTGAAGCCAGCAAACCACCCACGAGTGGCCCCGAAGCTCTCGGGCTAAGCGCCCACGTCCTTGCCCTGCTCTGCTTGAGGTTCTGGAACAGGCTGTGGGCTTTCTCCTGAATGAGCACCATACTGACAGGCACGTGGCGCTGGCTCTGGTCCTTGATCCACACTCTCAGCAGCTTCTCTGGGTTGACTATCGCCAGGCTGTGCATGCGTGTCACCTTGGTGGCTGCCTGCAGTGTGGCCGCCTGGGAAGTCGCCCAGATCTTGTTGTCATGAATGGTGACCAAGGTGGAGATGGACAGCCCCAGCACCTTCCTGATTCTACTGAGCTTCTCTCCAGCTTCAAAGCAGCACAGCACCTTGAGCTTCACCTCCAGGTTGATGGCCTTGGGGTTCTCCTGGGCTCAAGCAATCCTCCCACCTCATTCTCCCAAGTAGCTAGCACTATGGGTGTGCAGCACCACACCCGGCTATTTTGTAGAGATGAGATCTCACTATGTTGTCCAGGCTACTCAGGATCCTCTCGCCTTGGCCTCCTACACCCAGCCACCAATGCCTACTTTTTTTTTTTTTTTTTTCGAGACGGAGTTTCGCTTGTTACCCAGGCTGGAGTGCAATGGCACGATCTCGGCTCACTGCAACCTCCACCTCCTGGGTTCAGGCAATTCTCCTGCCTCAGCCTCCTGAGTAGCTGGGATTACAGGCACATGCCACCATGCCCAGCTAATTTTTTGTATTTTTAGTAGAGATGGGGTTTCACCATGTTGACCAAAATGGTCTCGATCTCTTGACCTTGTGATCCACCCGCCTCAGCCTCCCAAAGTGCTGGGATTACAGCCTTGGGCCACCGCGCCCAGCCACCAATGCCTATTTTTAAAGGGGCTGGTCGGCGCTCCCCAGACCCAAGCAGCCCCATCCCACCCACTTAGGGTTCCTCACCCCCCAGAAGGGTGCCAAGGAGGAGACAGCTGGAGGGAGGACATTCTAGGTAGCAGGAACAGCACAGGCAAAGGTTAATGTGGCTGGGGCGATCTTGCAGGATTTCAACTCAGTAAGGTTCTGGATTTTATTATTATTGTTTAATTTTTTTTCTTTTTCTTTCTCTTTTTTTGAGACATGGTCTCTGTCACCCAGTCTGCAGTACAGTGGTGCTATCTTGGCTCACTGCAGCTTCCCCTTCTCGGGTTCAAGTGATTCTCCCACCTCAGCCTCCCAAGTAACTGGAACTACTGGCTATTTATTTATTTATTTATTTGAGACAGGGTCTCCCTCTGTCACCAAGGTTGGAGTGCAGTGGCGCCATCTCAGCTCACTGCAACCTCTGCTCCTCCGGAGTAGCTGGGACTATGGGACTACACGAGTGCACCACCATGGCCAACTTTTTTCTTTTCTTTTTGTGACGGAGTTTCACTCTCGTTACCCAGGCTGGAGTGCAACGGCGCGATCTCGGCTCACCGGCAACCTCCGCCTCCTGGGTTCAGGCAATTCTCCTGCCTCAGCCTCCTGAGTAGCTGGGATTACAGGCACGCGCCCCCATGCCCAGCTAATTTTTGTATTTTTAGTAGAGACGGGGTTTCACCATGTTGACCAGGATGGTCTCGATCTCTTGACCTCATGATCTACCCACCTCGGCCTCCCAGAGTGCTGGGATTACAGGCTTGAGCCACCGTGCCTGGAGACTTTTTTCATTTTTAATTTTTATTGAAATAGAGTCTCACTCTGTCGCCAGGCTGGAGTGCAGAGGCATGATCCTGGCTCACTGCAACCTCCACCTCCCAACTTCAAGTGATTCTCCTGCCTCAGCCTCTGGAGTAACTGGGATTACCGGCACGCGCCACCACACCCAGCTAATTTTTGTATTTTTAGTAGAGACAGGGGTTTACCATGTTGGCCAGGATGGTCTCCATCTCCTGAGCTCATGATCCTCCCGCCTCGGCCTCCCAAAGTGCTGGGACAACAGGCGTGAGCCACCGCGCCCAGCCTAACTTTTGTATTTTTAGTAGAGACTGGGTTTCACCATGTTAGTCAGGCTGGTCTCAAACACCTAACCTCAAGCAATCCACCCACCTAATCCTCCTAAGGTGCTGGGATTACAAGCATGAGCCACCCCGCCCAGTCAAGGATCTGGATCTTCATTCTGACCCGGCAAGGGTGTCCGGGGAACGCGCTCCCCGTTTCAGTGCATGGAGGGACGCGCACGCAAGCGCAGAAGGAACAACGAGGACCCGGTCCCAGGCTGCGAAAATGCAGAACTTCCCAGAGCAGAGGAACGATTCAGGGGGAGCTGGGTGGGAAAGCGGACGGGGTGCGTGAGTGGAACCGGGAACCGCTGCAGGCCCAGGAGCGTCAGTTCATGAGCGGCAGAGGCCCCGGCCACCCCAGTTCACGGACAAAGACCCGGAGTCGCGGGGAAGAACCGAACTCAGGGCAGAGCCGCTACCCAGGAGCTTTCCTTAGAACCATGATGAGTGGATTAATTCGCTGTATAAATTAGGGGCACTTGGCTGGGTGCGGTGGCTCACGCCTGTAATCCCAGCACTTTGGGAGGCCGAGGCGGGTGGATCACGAGGTCGAGAGATCGAGACCATCCTGGTCAACATGGTGAAAACCCGTCCCTACTAAAAATACAAAAAATTAGCTGGGCATGGTGGCGCGTGCCTGTAATCCCAGCTACTCAGGAGGCTGAGGCAGGAGAATTGCCTGAACCCAGGAGGCGGAGGCTGCGGTGAGCCGAGATCGCGCCATTGCACTCCAGCCTGGGTAACAAGACCGAAACTCCGACTCAAAAAAAAAAAAAAAAAAAAAAAAAAAAAAAAAAAAAAAAAATTAGAGGCACTTGTAATATACCAGGCATTTGGGATACGGGGGGAGGGGCCCCACCCACCCCTGCGGACCCCCGTCCCGGTCCACGCTCCGCCGTTACCGCTCGCTTGCCTGGGCCCCCGCCCCCCGACCGCACAGCGCCCGCCCCCACCCGGACCGCACAGCCCACCTGGGCTTCCCGATGCCTCTGGGCGCCCCGCGCCGGGACTCACCTTGGGGACGGGACTGAACTGGCCCAGCCGTGAGGAGACGAAGACGAACCACCCGAAAACCGGAGCTTCTGGCCGCCCTGCAAGCTCGTTTCTGCGCCGCCCTCTCCACCCCCGCCCCTCGGGCGCGACCCGACCCCACCCCACGTTCCAGGTGCATCTGTTCTGCAGAAGCGGCCGGCGTGGGCGCAGGTGAAGGCCGCCCTGGTGGGCAATTACCGTGGCTTCGGGGTGCATCTCAACCATGGGTGGGTGTTCCTGAGCCCTGCGACTGACCCACAGACAGGGAACCGTACCTTCTTGTTCCCCAGCCAGGTGCTATGTGTTTGTCACTGCGGAAAGGCCACAGAACGTGAGATGTGAGAACCATGGGCGAGAAGAGGTAGTTTCTGCCCTCCAGAAATAAAAGATCACTAAGCAGAGTTCATCTGAGATAAGGCCCAAGCCCAGAGTCATGCAGGACAGCTGCAGAAGTCTGTCCCTCCAGGCCTGTGCCCTGGGCCACTCACCCAAGCTCTGTAGGCCTCTCCTGGAACAAATGCAAGCTTCCCACCAACTCCCTTGTTGCCGCTGACACAGGGCCTCCTGAGGATGCAGCTGCCTGAGCCTCCTGTCTCAGTGTAGCTCCTGGAGGCGGGCACGAGCACTGAGGATACCCCGGGAATCCCACAGGCCATGCTCCCAGATGGGGTCATTCTCCACAAGGAATCAAAGGCCAGCAGCAAAGTGAGACAGAACCTGGACCAGCTGCTCATGCCTCCGAACCCCCTCGCCGGCCCCCTGGCCTCTGTACTCTTCATGGCTTCTCTGACCTTTTGGAGGCCAGGCCTTTCCCTGCCTCCCAAGACAGCCCAGAGGTGCTCATGTCCCCATCCGCTGCATCCTGGGGAACACTGTGGAGTGGGGGTTCCCCACAGGCCTGCAGCAGGCAGGCAACATCAGCCTCAGCCACATCCCCAAGAGCCACACAGCTAGCTAGTGCCACAGTGCTGTGGCGGAGCTTGGGCACCACATCAGGCCCGGGGGCACCGGCCGGCACACACTCAGACCAGTTTCCTCCAGGAGTTGCTCCTGGTCGCAGGCTTCCGTCTGCCCAGGCCTCGGCGATACTGTCCCCGGCAGGCATGACAGCAGAGCTGCACCAGAACTCCCACACAGACGGCCAGTCCTCATCAGCAGCCTCCTGGACCAGCGGGCTGGGTGTGTGGTGCAGGCAGTGGGCCGATGCCCTCGTTCATGGGCTGAATTAGGGCTGAGGTGTTCTTGGGCAAGAACTCAACGGCCACCCTGATGGGCAGGATGGTAGGGTGCACCATCCAGAAGCAGCAGGGCATGATGTGGAGGCCACAGTGAGTACAGTAGGTGTCCATGGCAGGGCAGAGCATCCTGGAAGACGCTGGGAGTCAGCCAGTCATTGCGACTGGAGCACCAGAGCACAGGGAGGCTGGCCTTGGGGCAGCCCTCGAGGGCACGCGGATTCTCTGAGGGGTACACTAGCCGGGCCTTTAGCTTGAAGTTGCTGGCCTCTCTGCCACCCAGCAGTAGGGTCAGATGGGCCTTCGAGGCCTTGGGCCCAGGCACAGTCACCCCTTCCAATGCCAGCAGCCAGCGCTTGGGCATCCGTTTCCTGAACAGTCCCGTCTCACCCACATTGAAGACTTGGTGTGGTGAGTAGCAGGCCTCCTCCAGGATGACACACAGCACCAAGGGGTACTGGGCAGCAGCCTGGGTGTCAGCTATGGCTGGCTCATCCATCAGCAGCCCTTACTGGCCCCAAAGCTCTCAGCCTGGGCACCATCGCTCTGCTCTTGCTGTAGCTGTACAAACAGCCAGCACGCCTTGTCCTGGATGAGCAGTGTGCTGACAGGCAAGTTCTGTTGCTTCTGCTCCCCAATCCACAGGCTCAACAGGCGTTCCATGTGGCCCGTCACCACACCCAGCAGCAGGTCAGCTGCACAGCACTCACTGGAGGGGCTGCGGGAATTAGCCTGGACCTTGTCCTTGTTGACACGGATTGAGGCAACAGTGGAGCGGACCAGCCCTCGGGCCCTGTCAATCTGTGTCAGTTTCTCACTCTCTTCAAACCTCTGCAGCACCTCCAACTTCATGTGCAGGGCAATGGAGTTCTGGTCTCGCCTGGCATGCTGATGGAGGCCAATCTCACCAAAGGGTGTCTTTCCTGACACTTGCGGGTAGGGGACTGTCTTCATCCCTCCCCCCTGAACCATGCACCTCCATGAGCTCTCTTCGTTCTGCTCAGCCCTAGCAGCTACCACTGTGCCCACAATGGCAGCCTCTTGCCCTCTCTTGCCATGCTGCCTCTGCCTGTAAGGAGGACACACATGAGCATTAATCTATGAGCACATGCCAGCCTTACCACTCCCTGGGTGCTCTCCAAGAACTCTTGTTGCCCAGGCTGGAATGCAATGGTATGATCTCAGCTCACCACAACCTCAGCCTCCCGAGTAGCTGGGGATTACAGGCATGCGCTATCATGCCCAGCTAATTTTGTATTTTTAGTAGAGATGGGGTTTCTCCATGTTGGTCAGGCTGGTCTCAAACTCCTGACCTCAGGTGATCCACCCACCTTAGCCTCCCAAAGTGCTGGGATTACAGGCGTGAGCCACTGCGCCCGGCCTATTTTCCAATTTTCTTGTAACTTCTTAGGGCTCCACATTTCCCTCTGACAAAACAACTATGACAAATCTAAAAAAGTGAGATATATGGTGCTTTTTTTTTTTTTTTTTTTTTTTTTTTTTTTTTTTTTGAGACAGTCTCGCTCTGTTGCCAGGCTGGAGTGCAGCGATCTCAGCTCACTGCAATCTCTGCCTCCCGGGTTCAAGCAATTTTCCTGCCTCAGCTTCCAGAGTAGCTGAGACTACGGGCATGTGCCACCAAACCGAGCTAATTTTTGTACTGTTAGTAGAGACAGGGTTTCACCATGTTGGCCAGGATGGTCTCGATCTCTTGACCTCGTGATCCTCCCACCTCGGCCTCTCAAAGTGCTGGGATTACAGGTGTGAGCCACCACACCCAGCCAATGCATATTTGATGAAAGCTAGGTTCATAGCTCTGAGAGGGTCTAGAGCTGGGTATGTGGTTTGTCTGAAGAAAAGAGGTTTCAGCAAGGGGCCCAAGTATAAACAGTATTATCAGGTGCGATGTTGAAGACTGTACTGTGATCACCTTCTGGCTGCCAAGTTGTGCTTAAAATTCATGGGTCAGAGACATTGGGCTGTCGTTAAAAGGGGAGCCCCATGAAGAAGCCTTTACGGTTGCTCAAAAAGGTTGTGTTATGACGCCTGTGCATGTATAAGGACTGGCTAAGCATGCTGGGTTGGAAGTTAACATTGTAGATATTGAAAAATCGAGACCAGGCGCGGTGGCTCAAGCCTGTAATCCCAGCACTTTGGGAGGCCGAGGCGGGTGGATCACAAGGTCAAGAGATCGAGACCATCCTGGTCAACATGGTGAAACCCCATCTCTACTAAAAATACAAAAAATTAGCTGGGCATGGTAGCGCACGCCTGTAATCCCAGCTACTCGGGAGGCTGAGGCAGGAGAATTGCCTGAACCCAGGAGGCGGAGGTTGAGGTGAGCTGAGATCGTGCCATTGCACTCCAGCCTGGGTAGCAAGAGCGAAACTCAGTCTCAAAAAAAAAAAAGAAAAATCGGAGTTTTGCTGGGGGTGGTGGCTCACGTCTGTCATCTTAGGACTTTGGAGGCTGAAGCAGGCAGATCACCTGAGGTCAGGAATTCAAGACCAGCCTGGCCAACATGGTGAAACCCCATCTCTATTAAAAATACAAAAATTGGCCGGGCACGGTGGCTCAAGCCTGTAATCCCAGCACTTTGGGAGGCCGAGGTGGGTGGATCATGAGGTCAACAGATCGAGACCATCCTGGTCAACGTGGTGAAACCCCGTCTCTACTAAAAATACAAAAAATTAGCTGGGCATGGTGGTGCATGCCTGTAGTCCCAGCTACTCAGGAGGCTGAGGCAGAAATGCCTGAACCCAGGAGGCGGAGGTTGCGGTGAGCCGAGATCGCGCCATTGCACTCCAGCCTGGGTAACAAGAGTGAAACTCCGTCTCAAAAAAAAAAGAAAAAATTAGCTGGGTATAGTGTCGTGCGCCTCTAATCCCAGCTACTCAGGAAGCTAAGGTAGGAGCTGAGGGTAGGAGCTAAGGTAGGAGCTAAGGTAGGAGCAGAATCGCCTGAACCCAGGAGGCAGAGGTGGCAGTGAGCTGAGATTGTGCCCCTGCACCACTCCAATCTGGGTGATAGAGTGTCTAAAAAAAAAAAGAACTTCAGACCATTTATAGGAGTTGTGACAGAAAAGGCCAAGCTGTAACATAATATCGGGAGCAAGGGTCTCTTTCAGAGACCAGAATTTCTGACCCAGAAGTTTGTAAAGCAGGCAAGCCACATTGCTTAGGAAAATTAAGCATTTCTTTTTGAGACTTCGGAGATCAAATTTGTTCCAATGTTTTATTTTTATTTTATTTTATAGACAGTCTCACCACTGTCACCCAGGCTGGAGGGCAGTGGCATGATCTTGGCTCACTGCAACCTCCGCCTCCCGGGTGCAAGCTATCCTGTCTCAGCCTCTAAAATAGCTGGGACTACAGGTGCGTGCCACCACACCTGGCCAATTCTTTTTGTTTGTTTTAGTAAAGACAGGATTTCACCGTGTTAGCCAGGATGGTCTCAATCTGCTGACCTTGTGATCCACCCACCTCGGCCTCCCAAAGTGCTGAATTACAGGCGTGGGTCACCGTGCCCGGACCTCCAATGTTTTAGAATGCAACCCACAGGCAAGTCTGAGGGACTAGACAGGGTCTATCCAATTGTGTGACTGGGAAACCAAGCCACTTGGGGCTAGTTGAACCAATTCCCATTTGGGGCATCTTGCCAAGGAAAAGTGCTCCACTCACATCTGCTGAAGGACCCTGAGGTGCACTTTTCTAAAGGGGCGTCCTGCCTATTAGAAAAAGCCTCCCAGAGCTAGGGTGCCTTACCCTGGGATGGCCACTGGAGTGAGCAGTCCCAGGTCAGTCCAGGCACGAATTACACTGAGTGCTTGGCCCAAGGTCTGAGGGGAAGAGGTTGAGGGAAGATTCACTGTTCTGATGCTGTTTGGGATCACCTGGATCAAAACATCTGGAGCAGGATGGCCGGCTCTTCAGCGGAGAATTTAGAGTGAGAAGGTCTAAGTCACTCAAAACGTATGTGGTTTCACCCTAGATGAGCTGCCATTGCTAACTGCACCAAATGTAGAGTTCTGGAACTCTTGACCAGAGTCCTTCTCCCTTCCAGGCAAGGCAGCCAGCTCTGTTGACCCCCTGGCCTTCAGGCAACACCAGGGAGCAGCAGCCTGGCCAGACATCATCAATCACCAGAGGGGCACTGGAAGCTGGCTGCTGGAAGACTGAAATAGGAAAGTGAACTCACCAGAGCAAGCAGTGGTGGTTAGATACCTCTGAATGGACACCTTTCCGTTTCACCAGAGTGTCGTCCTGGCCAGAGACCTTCAGTTGTCTCCACACACTTTCAGACTGTCCACCGAGGGTCTTCAGTAGGAACGGAGAGGGGAAAGAGTCCCCCGTAGGGAGAGTCCCCATGTGGGCCACCAAAACATCATGATCAGCGACTGCCTGAGGCTGGCACACAAGTGGTAAGAGAATTTACCAAGACAGTAATGAGTTTAGAAAGGCAGCTTTACTAGAGAAAAGGGGGAGATAACATTGCAAGGGAGCAGCAGGCAATACAGAGAGGGAAGGCTGTCTGCCAAGAGGCAGGGGCCTGAGGAAAGTTTTATAAGGTCATGCTGCTTGGGCTCAATGCTTGCAGACACGATGCTTGGGTGCAGGTGAGCCATTTGCAGCTGACCCCATTTCTCTAAACATTTGCTCCCATGCATCCGTTTCTGTTCCTGCCAGCTAAACCCATTTTTCCATTTTCTTTTTACTCCTTAGGGCTCCACAGAAATCTCTTAAAACCACAGAGGGAGCCAAGAGAATCAAAAGGTCCTGACCTACCTCCCAGGCAAGATGAGGTGAACTACCCATCTCCACACTTCTCACTTGGAGATAGCAAATGTCATTGTGGGAAGCTGAATAAGGTCACCTAAACATGTCCATATCCTAATCCCAGGAAACTATGAGTAAATTATCCTACATGGCAAAAGGAACTTTGTAAATTAATCTCAAGATACGGAAATTATCCTGAGTTATTCCAGCGGCCCCTAATTAGAATCACAGAGGTACTTATGAAAGGAGGCAGAGGGGCAGGGCCAGGTGACTCACCTGTAATCCCAGCACTTTGGGAGGCTGAGGCAAGTGGATCATGAGGTCAGGAGTTTGAGATGAGCCTGACCAACATAGTGAAACCCCATCTCTAATAAAAATACAAAAATCAGGCCGGACGCAGTGGCTCAAGCCTGTAATCCCAGCACTTTGGGAGGCCGAGGCGGGTGGATCATGAGGTCGAGAGATCGAGACCATCCTGGTCAACATGGTGAAACCCCGTCTCTACTAAAAATACAAAAAATTAGCTGGGCATGGCGGCGCGTGCCTGTAATCCCAGCTACTCAGGAGGCTGAGGCAGGAGAATTGCCTGAACCCAGGAGGCGGAGGTTGCGGTGAGCCGAGATCGCGCCATTGCACTCCAGCCTGGGTAACAAGAGTGAAACTCCGTCTCAAAAAAAAAAAAAAAAAAAAAAAAAAAAAAATACAAAAATCAGGCCAGGCACAGTGGCTCACACCTGTAATCCCAGCACTTTGGAAGGCTGAAGCAGGTGGATCACGAGGTCAAGAGATCAAGACCATCCTGGCCAATTTGGTGAAACACCAACTCTACTGAAAGTACAAAAATTAGCTGGGCATGGTGGCAAATGCCTGTAGTCCCAGCTACTCAGGAGACTGAGGCAGGAGAATCGCTTGAACCCAGGAAGTGGCGGTTGCAGTGAGCCAAGATTGCACCACTGCACTCCAGCCTGGGAGACGACAGAGTGAGACTGCCAAAAAAAAAAAAAAAAAAAAGGAATGAATGAACACTGAAATAAAAACACAAAGTCAGATACAAAACTGCTTAGTGAGCTGTGAGCTACAAGGTGATACACTGGGCAGAAAGCATTTGCAACCTATCAGCCTGCACAAGGTAGCATCTAACTGGATAGCATCTGGACTCCTAAGTTTTCCTAACACTTTCATACGTTTTTCTCACAGCTCTACCTCTGACTCTCCCTGTCTCTCTTCGCGCTGTCATCTTTCTCTAAGTCTTTGAAATCCGTCAATCCATCTTACCGTATCTCTAATTTCTGTCCCTTTTCTCCCTTCTTGCCTCTGTCCCTCTCCCTTCCTGTCTGCCTCTTGAGTCTGGATGTCTGCACTTCTTGTCTCTGTGAACCCATTCTGCGTTTCCCTCTTCGTGTCTCTTTCATCTACATCCCTTTCTGATCTGCCTCTCTCTTGCTAACTGTTCTGACACCTGTTTCCCCAGGACCTTCTGATCCACTCAACCCTCTTATAACTTGGGCCCGTATCTCTACATTTGTTCACTTACATTGTTTCACTGACTCTGCTCGTGTCGAGTCTCTGGCCCTCCCAGTCTGTGGGTCTCTCTCTCTTTCTCTCTCTCTCTCTCTCTGTCTCTCTCCCTCCCTCTCCTCTCTGTCCTTCGTTTTTCTTTGCCCTTGACTCTCTGGTCTGTTTCTCTTTCCTGGCTGTTTCTATCGATCGGCATCTCTGCCCCAGTAACCCTCCCCACCTCCTCATCCCACATGCCCCCTTGCATGCCTGCCGCATCTCCGGGTTGTTCAGGCGATCGGGTCCCTGGGTTACCATGGAGACGTTCAGGGCCCGCCCTTCACCCAAGATCACACAGGAACGTCACCGCGCCGCGCGCGCACCGGCACACGAAGGACCCTGCCGACTACATCTGGAAAGCACGGGGCCAAGCCTTTCTCCATTTTGCGGTCTAGGAAGTAGCAGAAGGGGAGGAGGAGGCCCATTCCTGCAGAGCGTTGCCATGGAGACGTGGGGCGACGGAGTTCTAATGAGGGCCGCGATTGGTGCAGAACCCTGCTAATCTCAGGAAGGACCGTAGAGAATTGAGGAAAACGTGGTGGGGGGCATGCGCGATCTGGAAGGCGGTACTGCCGTCTGTTGTCCCCGAGAAGCTTGCACACGTCAACGTACGGATTCGAGGAGGGGAGCATGGGGAGAAGCGGCCAGGAGTGTGACCTGATCATTGCGACCACCGCTACCCACAGGGGACGGGAGGAGAGGGTGTAGAAACGGAGGCGAGGGTGGGGGAAGGGCAAGGAGGCGCTTGAGCTGGTGCGCGGAGCATCCTGGGAGACGTAGTCCAGCGGGGAGGGGGAAGTCGAAGACTGCGCGTGCTCAGGAGCGCGGAGCGGCCAGCTGAGCGCAGAGGTGAGGGCGGGGTCCTGTCAACCGGGAGGGCTAGGGTGGGGACCGGGGCTGTGGCTGCAGACTAAGGGATTTCGGCTGCCCGGCGAGACCGGGAGCAGGGGAAGGAATCCGGGCACCCGCTGCGGGGGAGCCCTGGGCCTGAGCGCGAGGCTTATCAATCACTCCTCGTTGCCACGACGACAGGCTTTGGGAGCCCCGCCCCCGGTTGCCTAGGCGTCTCCAGGACGTACCTTGGCACCCTGGAGCGGAAGTTGCCGCCTGGACTTCTGGGAAGTGTATTTCGGGACCCTCCCTAGCTACCTGCCGCTTTGGTTACGACCCAAGTTTCTCCCAGGGTTTCTGGTTCACTTGGCACATTGAAGAGTAGAGGCTTAGCCCCCAGGATCAGGCGGCCCTCGAAATCGATGCTACCCACGGGGGGGATAATTCTGCGGCGCCATCCCATTCATAAACGCAGACCTTCACAAAGCGCCAGCTGCAGAAGGAGCAGCTTGAGCAGGAAGGTCAGCCCCACTTGCAAATGAGGAAACAAGTTCACAAAGGCACAGTGACCTGAAAATGGGCGGAATCAGAATCTCGGGAATTACTTGCAGGCTCCTGTTCCAGTCGTTTTGGAGGCTAGAGAGGGTGTACCTGGGGGCTGAGCCATAGGACTGCACAGGTTGAGATGGGGGATTAGGTGGAGCGAGGCTTCCCTCTGGGAGGGGAATGATGGTAGGCCCAACTGAGGGGCCAAATCTAAGTAGATGAGCGAGTAGACCGTGAGGTTAGGGCTGGTGATGGGTGGGGGGAGAGGGCAGCAATGATGCTGATGCCCAGGCTATAGGTGTATAGGTGTCATCCAGCTGGTAAAAGAGAGCTTCAGGGCAGGAATGAGGTTGTACATGTAGAAGAAAGGAAGTATATAGGGGAGAGAAGTGTCTTCTAGACCTGTGGGACAGGATGGTGGAACAAACCTGTAAGTCCCAGCACTTTCGGAAGTCAAGGCAAGAGGATCACCTGCTTAAGCCCAGGAGTTCAAGAACAGCCTGGGCAACACAGTAAAATCCCATCCCTACCAAAAAAATAAGAAATTAGCTGGACATCGTGGCACATCGCTGTTGTCTCAGCTATTTGGGAGGCTTAAGTGGGAGAATCTCTGGAGCCTGGGAGGTCAAAGCCACAGTGACAACGATCTTGCCACTGCACTTCAGCATGGGCAAAAGAGTGAGACCCTGTCTCAAAAAAAAAAAAAAAAAAGGCCTGTGTTTGGAGCAGGGAGACTATCAGAGACTTTGCACACGTCCACGTGGAGAGAAGACCAGGAATACAGGTGGCTAAGGGAGGGCTTTCAGCCGCACAAGTCTATGGGCTGTGACTGGCCTTTCTTTGCCTCAGTTTCCTCATCTGCCTTCCACATAGGGTAGGTCTGAGAATCATACAGTACAGCACAGACTAGGTAGTGAAACATTCACTGTCTACCCTTCTTGCAACAGCCTCATACTATTTCTTCACCAGGGGCAGACACTGGCCTCAGATACCTGACCTGGTACCCTCTATGAGGCCTGCGGTGCTGGGCTCCCCAGACCGAGCACCCCCAGAAGACGAGGGGCCTGTCATGGTGAAGCTGGAGGACTCTGAGGAGGAGGGTGAGGCTGCCCCATGGGACCCAGGCCCTGAAGCTGCACGCCTGCGCTTCCGGTGCTTCCGCTATGAGGAGGCCACAGGGCCCCAAGAGGCCCTGGCCCAGCTCCGAGAGCTGTGTCGCCAGTGGCTGCAGCCAGAGGTACGCTCCAAGGAGCAGATGCTGGAATTGTTGGTGCTGGAGCAGTTTTTGGGTGCACTGCCCCCTGAGATCCAGGCCCGTGTGCAGGGGCAGCAGCCAGGCAGCCCCGAGGAGGCTGCTGCCCTGGTAGATGGGCTGTGCCGGGAGCCGGGCGGACCTCGAAGATGGGTGAGTGAGTGACCACGAGTGGGGTTCAGGACTGGAGCATGGTCCAGCTCTGCCTCACCCTGGGTACCACCATGCTTGGCCAGACACACATCCTCCCTCGTGGTACAGAAGTGGCCACCAGCAACAGAGACCCTGTGCAAGGATGCCCAGGGCAGAAGGATTCCAGGGCTAGCCTCCCAAGCCCATTCCTGCATCACCTGTAGTCACAAGGACACAAGAGTTGCAGGCTAGGGGAAGATGGGGAAGGTACTGGAAGGCCTTGGGTGTCAGAAGCAGGAGAGAGACTGCAGGTGGTCCTTTCATTCCTTGCTTGGGGCCCAGGGAAGTTAGGTCCTTGGAGGACCTAGTCAGTAGGTATTTACAAGACAGGCCTCTGGGATCCTATAGTGGGATGGGCACCCACATACCCCAGGTTAAGGCCAGCCCCACTCTCCGGTTGGACCTCTGATGGTGGGGGCACCTCCCCAGGTCACAGTCCAGGTGCAGGGCCAGGAGGTCCTATCAGAGAAGATGGAGCCCTCCAGTTTCCAGCCCCTACCTCAAACACAGCCTCAAACTCCAGAGTCTGAGCCTGAAACACCTCCTGGGACTATGCAGGAATCACCACTGGGCCTGCAGTTGAAAGAGGAGCCAGAGGTTACAGAGGACTCAGGTGAGGGCATGCAATATGGGCAGTGCCTAAGGTCTGGTTGAGTGGGCGGGGAGCCTGGCCTGAGCAGTCAGTCAGAAGTTCACTGGGCCAGGTTTGTTATCAATGGAAGGGTTTCCATGTGCCAGCAGCCCCCACATTCTACCCAGTCAGGTCTCACCAGTGCTGTCACTACCCCTCGCCCTCCAAGCCTGACTGCCACAACCCTGCACCCGCAACGCCCCTGGAATGGAGCAGGCTGTTGGGGTTTCCCAGTACAGATGGCATGTGGTTTTCAGTCCCCAAGGGGATCCATTAGGCAATATCTGCTTGTCACTGGAGAATAGACAGCAGGCCGAAGTACACGTAGGAGCTGCTTAGGGAGGACCTTGCAGTGTTACGGGTATGGCCCCCATTCACCTCTCAGGCAGGGCACCTGAACTAGCTGCTCTCACCCTGACTTTTCCATGTGGACCTTTGTACAATACCTCTGACCCCTGCTGACCATCTTGTCCCACAGCTCACAGGGCTACAAGGGCACAGACCTAAGCCCATCTCATCCCACTGCAGCTCAGCCTCTGGTCTTCCAGGGTATTCTGCTTCACCCAGCCCCTAAGCTGGGCCCTCAGCTGCCCTGCTCTGCCCTCCCCAACCCAAGCCCACAACCAGGAATCCCACCTGTCTGAATGCCAAAACCTGGCATACCACTAAGGGCAGTGGGTGGAAGCTCACTCAGGCTCCCTGAAACTCGCTCAGGCTTTCGTCTCTAGATTTTCTGGAGTCTGGGCCACTAGCTGCCACCCAGGAATCTGTACCCACCCTCCTGCCTGAGGAGGCCCAGGTAAGTCCTGGTCAGGTCCATATTCTCCTCCTTTCTCTTGGAGTCACTGGGTGGGGTCAGGTAGGTCCCTCCCTGAGCCCAGCCCGGCACAGATGAGCAGTGACCACTGTGATTTCAGGGATGTGGGACCGTGCTGGACCAGGCCTTTCCCCACATCAAGACTGGGCCTGAGGGTCCCTCATGGAGGGAGCACCCCGGGGCCCTGTGGCATGAGGAAGCTGGGGGCATCTTCTCCCCAGGTAAGTGAAATGGGGTGTGGTTAGGCCCTCCGCATGGACAGCACTGTCTCTGCCGACCTCGCTCCTGGCCCGACTCAGGCAGCCCTCTTACTCCAGCATCCCCAAGTCGCCCCATTCCCTAGACCATCGCCCATAAGGTTTAACCTACTCTAGCATCTTCTGCCCTTACAAAAAGCCACCCACCACTGATCCCATAGCCCGCCTACTTTCTACTCCCACCTCAGTAAAACCTTTTACAAGTAAGGCCTGTAATTCCCCATGCCCATATTCTCTCCCAGTCCTGGCATCCTAGATGGCCTCCTGGGCTTGCCTCGTGCTGGTCAGGCATCAGGACAGATAGGGTTGGGACCTGACAAGGACAGCAGGTTAGCAGACAGAGCAGGTGGACAGGAGGGACCCTGACACAGGATAGGGATCCTGCCCAATCATCCAGGCATTACAGGCCAGAGGCCCGCTGTCACCTACCTCTCAGCCACCACCTTTGTCTGGCATCATCCAGGCTCCCCCTACACCTTGTCTTCTCTTCTGTTCCTTCCTGTTCTTCAGACCCAGCATCTCCTCTTTCTCAGTTCACATGCTTGTTTTGGTGAGGGAGATAAAATTCTGAGATGTCCCATATCTGAAACACATTGTCTAAGCCTCAACAACAGATTGAAGTTTGGCTGGAAGAATTCTTTTTATTTATTCAGTCACAGACCTTTTTTATCATTATTGTTGGTGAGCCTTTTCAGTTTGAAATTCACATCTCTCAGTTCTGGGAAACTGCCTTGAAATGTTTATTTCCTTCCCTTCTATTGTTCTATTCCCTATTTCTGGGATGCCTGTTACTTGCCTATTGGCCTATGGGATGGGTCCTTTAATGTTCTTTTCACTCCAAGTTTCCATCCCTTTGTCTTTCTACTCTATTTTTCAAGAAATTTTCTCGCTTGTATCTTTCAGCCCTTCTGTTACAATTTTTATTTCTGGGAGTTTTTTTTTTTGTTTTGTTTTGTTTTTGTTTTTGTTTTTTTTTTTTTTTTTTTTCTTAGGGTCTCACTGTTTTACACAGGCTAGAGCACAGTGGTGCCATCATAGCTCACTGCAACCTCAAACTCCTGGGCTCAAGTGATCCTCCCACCTCAGCCTCCCAAGTAACTGGGACTACAAGGCATTTTTTTATTTTTTGGTAGAAACAGGTTCTCACGCGGCCAGGCGTGGTGGCTCACGCCTATAATCTCAGCACTTTGGGAGGCCGAGGCGGGTGGATCACAAGGTCAAGAGATAGAGACCATCCTGGTCAACATGGTGAAACCCCATCTCTACTAAAAATACGAAAAAAGTTAGCTGGGCATGGTGGCGCGTGCCTGTAATCCCAGCTACTCGGGAGGCTGAGGCAGGAGAATTGCTTGAACCCCGGAGACGGAGGTTGTGGTGAGCCGAGATCGTGCCATTGCACTCCAGCCTGGGTAACAAGAGCGAAACTCAGTCTCAAAAAAAAAAGAAAAGAAAAGAAAAAGAAAGAAAGAAACAGGTTCTCACAATGTTGCCAGGGCTGGTCTTGAATTCCTGCCTAAGTGATCTTCCCACCCTGTCTCTTCCCACAGTGCTGGGATTACAGGCATGAGCTACCGCGTCTGGCCTCTTCTAGCGTATTTTTTATTTCCAAGAGTGTTTTCATTCTCTGAATGCTCATCTTTTTAGCTGCTACCTGTTGTTCTTTGATCTGTAATGTTTTTTCCTTATTTCTCTGAGAACAGCAGTAACTTTTTTTTTTTTTTAAGTTTTCTTAAAAAAACAGCATGGTCTCTTCTATTCTAGCTGTTGG